ACCATCTGGTACGACATCAGCGTCATCCCCAACGACTGCAGGCCGTCCTGGAGCCAGTGCAGCGGCAGCGGCGTCGGCTACAACGCCCCATTAAGCGTGGAAAGTCGTGGGCAAGCTGCAGGCCAAGTGTGAGAACTTGGTGTGCAACCAGCCGCGATGCCCCGCGGGGTACCACGTACCGGACGACAACTTGAAAGTCAAATCGTGCGAGAAGAAGACGTCGTTCATTTTGACTTTTGGCTGTGCCACGCGATAAGCAGAAACGTCCGATATCGATGAATATGGATGGGTTCGTGAGTTGTACTGGAGTACAGTACGTAGTTTGATGGGAGTTGTAGTAGAATATTACAACGTTCGAAGCTGGCTTTCAACGTGTGAGTTTGGGGACATAACGTTATTAATACAGTAACGTAAAAAACCAATTTAAGATAACTTTTTTGGAGGTGTCGGAGTAGAATGGACATAACTTTTGAGTCCGTTACGATATTTGAGTTTTGAATAGTGATTCCAATAGACAAGACGCGCCTCGTTGACTTCATAATCGAACTATCAGTTTAGGCGATGAACTTCACAGGTAAATTTGTTGCATTCTAAGCATTTGTGCTCACATTTTGATAACCAATTTAGGATAACTTTTTTATCTTAAAGTATGTATGCGTCTGAGCATTGATATTCTGTGTTTAGGGAAAGCGGTTACAACAGGTTGCAAAACAGTACAAGGGTACTGTTTTACATAGTTAAATTTCTGTTGTGGATGGATGTCCACCGAGTTTAACACTCGACAAAACCTCAGATCCAACCCAATGTGGCCCGTGTCAACTAGGAAACTTCAAACCCAATCTTCAATTACTATTCTTGAATGACTATTACCAATGACTTCTACGCCGTTTTTGCATTTCATTCACGTGACGGAATGGCCAGCATTATATAATAGAGGTTTTGACTCGAACAAATAACGAGGTGTGATTGGGCAATTCAAAGTTATCCTAAATTGGTTAAGTTATCTTAAATTGGTTTTTTACGTTACTGTGCACGCTATATCAATTAAACGTGTATAAACATGTGACCAACAAGAATTGTCTAAATTGAGTTGTTTTCATGTAGAGGCTGGACGAAAAGTTGCTAGCACAGAGATTCGTCAAAATGTTCTATTTAAGGAGATTAAGTTTGGCATAGCTGTTTAAACAACTTGAAGTTCAACAACCCCTATAACTACATGTTTGCCGCCAAAATGAATCAAAATGCCCGCCAGGTTGGCAAGTCAACCAACTTTTTGCCATCCCCATAATTAAATGTGCATCTCAATGCCCATCAACGCCAACGCCGTCCTTACAGTTAATCGCCTCCAAGACCAGACCATTCGTGATCGGTCGTATCTCGAGGCTTCGCGCTTCAAGTAGTTTGGCCTCTAAATTCGTTGACTTTTTCATCCAAGTATGTTATTGATCAGTGGTGCCGTAAATAATCAGTAACTTGGTCATTTCGGAAACTAACGATTTTTGACACGAACACATTGCTTTTGATATTCTGCAAGGTGAATTCGTGAAGTCCCTTGTATTGATTATTTGTATAACTACAGTATTTCCGAATTGACATGATCAAATTGGAAATATGGCAGGTATACAGTAAGCCAGTCATCTACTGGTTTAAATATCTACTGATTGGTCACAAGAACGTTCAGTAATCTTCAAATATACCCCGAAACCCCGCAACCCCGAAAGTAGAACTTTGGGTGAGCCTGAACAGAATCTCATGACAATTGAAGTCATGACTGTGGATGACTGTGACGGTGATAAGCTTTGGTGAAACACGAAATTGACCAAAACACGACAGCTGTGAAAGTATTCCCTCACAATACCTCATCACGATTCGAAATAGACTCCTCAGACAACAACCACGTCGTTAACGTTAATCTATTTTGCGAGTGGCACGCATGATCGTAGACTTCATTGTTGTTACTGATCTCAAGAATATCACCAAAAAACGAAATGGCACTTAGTCAAGGCTTACAACATTAGAGAGCTTTAGCAACTCGTTCCATTCCGCATTCATAGCGGCGCCCCAACATATGGTGACAAAAGCAGAGTCTACCTCTCAAACATAGTTATGGAAACTGTCAAAAATAATGCTCAATCCCCATAATTAACCAATTGTATGGAATCAATTCCATTCTGTACAATTCCAAACGACTCGTGGTCCCAACGTCGACGCCGACCATGGCCACACCAGTGAAGCGACGCAACTATACTGACGAGGAGGACCTGATGCTCCTGCGCCAAGTCTCTCTCGAACTGCCGTTTTTGGCGCGCCGTGGCCTCATCACGGAGAAGTGGACGGCTGTCGCGCGGGCCCTTGTCGCGTCGGACGAGTTTACACGCACCGGCCTCGATGCCAAGAAGGCGAACAACCGCTTCAATGCCCTTGTTAACAGCCACCGCAAGTACAACAAAGATTCAGAACGGACATCCGGGGTCTCCGAGGAAGTTTCAGAGAAGGTCCTTCTGTTGGACGACCTTCTCGCTGTATTCGACGACGCGAAGGACGAGGAGACAAAGCGTGTTGTATCAACAAAAAAGGCCAACAAGCACACTGAAAACTTGGGCAGCATTGTCCACGACGAAGCAATGATGTCGTTGGGCAAACGAAAGCAAGCATGCGATGTCGAAGGTGCTGTCGGCGGAGGCAACAACAAGGTGGTCAAAATGATGGCCATTCTCAAAGAACAGGCGAAGTCTGACCTCGAATTTAAGAAGGAAAAGCACAACAGTGAGATTGAAGAGCGTCGCCAAGATCGTGAATTCCTTCTGGGGCATATTCGTCAGCAAAATGAGGCGATGCAAAAACAACAAGAGTTAATGCAACAACAACAGGGGACGTTGTTAAAATTGATGAGTGCCTTCATTAATAAAATTTGAAGTACGAGCTTGTTAATAGACAGATTTCGAAAACGGTGCCGTGGATTTGCCGTGCCCTAACGTTTTACAGCACGGCAAGTCCACGGCAGTAGACTCATCGATTTCGAATGTATCTGCTGTATCCGGTAATTATCCGAACAATTACATCCAGCAGCCATCTCGAAACCTCCGAATGCTGACCGTGGTCGAACTAGGCGAGTTCATGCGCCAACGACGCAAGTACCCCTTTCGCCGTCGCATGCGTCTGTTGCGCATCCTCTTGTGTGCTGTTGAGCGACCACTTGTTCCGGAGGACCGGTTTGACTTAGCCAAACTCACGAACGCTGACTGTGTGTTGAAGTTCCGCTTCGACTCGGCTGGGATCATGGAGTTGTGTGAACTTTTGGGTGTCCCCAATGTTCTGTTGACCACCATGGGAGACCGTTGCCTTGGCATTGACGCTCTGTGTATTTTGCTCAATCGAATGTCGTATCCTCGCCGTTTCTACGACATGATTGCGTCGTTTGGTCGCTCACGTGAATCGCTCTGCCGCATTTTCAATTCCCTTGTGGACCTGCTGTTCGACCAATGGCAGAACCATTTGTACTTCTGTTTGAACGTTGTTGCTGGCCGTCTACACAACTATGGGGCTGCCATTGCTGCGAAAGGTGCAATGATGGACAACATTTTTGGCTTCATTGACGGCTCGAAACTGGAAACATGCCGAATCTCTCAAAAACGCAATCGTACGACGTCCGACGCTCATCAGTATAGTGATCTCCAGCGTCTCATCTACAGTGGGCATAAACGTCGTCACTGCCTGAACTTCCAAGCCATCACAGCACCGGACGGTTTGTGTGTTCACTTTTGGGGGCCGACTGAGGGCTCACGCCACGACATTACTTTGTTGTGGGAAAGCAAGTTGATGGACTACATGGATCATCATGCAGCGACGTTTGGCAATTCTCTTATCTATGGTGACCCTGCATATGGTGTACTTCCGTGGGTGTGCAGCGGCTACAAGGGACCATTGAACGATCCGCGAATGCAAGAATTCAACACATCAATGAGTCGCGTTCGCCAATCTGTGGAGTGGAGCTTCTGTCAAATGAAGTCGCAGTGGGTATTTGTGACGTACAAGATGCAACAAAAAGTATTGTTGCAGGGCGTTGGAAAAACAATTTGCCTGGCAATGTTTTTTACAAATTGTCAGACGTGCTACTTCGGCGGAAACCGAACTAGTGTTTACTTCAACTTAAAACCACCAGCTCTCAAGGAGTATTTGGTAAAAGTATAACATGGAATATACATAGCTTAACTTCCTTGTCTTGAGCTTCTAAAATCAATTTCTTCTTGCTGAGGCCGCCGACGTCGGAGCCGTCACTCGACTCCAACGATTTGCGCTTCCCGCGTAGCATAGCTTGCTCCCGAATGAACTTTATACTCGCGTCTTTTTCGTCAGCCTCCGACAGTGGCGTGGTCGCCCTCTTTTTCGTCGCAGCGTCGTTGTAGAGGGGCACGAGGTCATCGAGGAGGCGGCTCTTGGGGGTCTCGTCTTCTGTGGCGCCTGAAAGCCGGGCCGCCTCATTGTTGTTGGACTTGTGCTGGCGAACGAAGAGAAGGAACCTGTTCTTCGCCTTCTTACCGTCGATGCCTGGCCGAGTGAAGCCGTCCACGTCTTTCAGCGTCGCGGCCATGGTGTCCCATGCTTTGCGCGTGTCCTTCCGTTGCAGAAAGGGCCTCGTGTTATTGATTTGGGTCAGTAGAATCTTGTCTTCTTCCTCTGTCCACCACTTGTTCTCGTGTACCTCCACCCCTTTGCTACATTCCTCGGACATGCCGTGGCTGTTGGGATTTACAGACAGAGTACAGGCTGCCGTGAATTTGGACAATTTCACGGCTTGCCACATGAAATTTAACAGGTGCCGTAGATTTTATAAATATTTGGAGTGTTTTTCTGCGGCAAATGCACGGCAAACCACTCCGAAATCTGTCTAATACGTTAAATTTCTACATTTCGAGCGTATCTAGATATTCCTTTACACTTGGAGGCTCCAAGTCAAAAAATCACTGATTTGATTTCCTCTAAAGTGACAGCAATGACAATTGGTGAGTAGCATGGCAATTGATACAATCTTGGCCACCGGGGAAAGTTGAATATTGGACAACATTTTAAATGTGATAAATGACCACAACGTCTTCAGGATTTTGAAGTTCCACTCCACAGATTGGCGTACCGGCTCATCCACTTGTTGAACTCACGCTTTCGCTCAGAAATATTGTTTCCTTTGTAACCCGAAAAGAGAAATTCCGCAACACCATACGCTGGGTCACCATACACACGCCCGGGTGCAGTCCAAAGAATTCAAGCAGCTTGCTGGATCTGAGCATGGTGGCGTCGTGACGCCGACCCTCGATTGGGCCGAAGAAGTGCACACAGATACCATCGGGGCATGTCACAGCTTGGTAGTTGAGGCAGTGTAGTGAATCCGCTTGTGGCCGCTATAGATTTGTTTTTGCAGGTTATTGCATTCCCCGACGATTGAATACGGCACGTTTGGACCTTAGTCCCGTCAATAAATCCGTAGACGTTACCCAGAGGCGAGCCCTTTCGAGCAACAGCGTCGCAATATCTATAAATATCAATTATGAGTAATTAAAAATGATTTTGGCAACCCAATATATTACTACATCACGTTACTAGTATGTGGAATTACCTTTGGATATTTTTTGCTACAAGGCTCAAATTGAAGTAGAGTAGGTTTCCCCATATCTCATACAATAAGTTAATGGCGTGGAGGAAGACATCACAAATAGAAGAGCGCGATCGTCCAAATGTTTTGGACATCCCGTACAACCTTGTTGGAAATGCCATCCGACCGAGGACAATGCACATTGCTTCGTCACGTAAAGCACGGCTCCGGTTTTCGGTTACCACCACCGCTGGTAGGCCGAGGTACTAGCCGAGTTTGCGGATGCCCACGACGTCAAAGCGGTAGTCGAGCACTGCGTTAGGATCCGTCATGGCGTCCAGGTTGAAACGAACTTCGTGGATCAGTGGCCGTTCGACGTGTTGTGTGGCCAGCAGGGCAAGAACGAATTGGCGTTGACGCACGGTCTTAGCCAGCGACAGAAGCATGACGCCTTCTGTCTGCGTGATTGGCATGAGTCGTCGTCCTTCGGTGGCGATGGTGAAATCACAGTGTATCCGGAATAACTTACCGGATGAATGTATGGATGGTGACTGGAATTGTGCTAAATCAAATAATTTATATTCCAGACTGTATCCATAACGCGGTTGTTGTCAAAAATGTGCGGAATGGATGCGGTCTGGAAAAGTTGCTAAACCTCTCTATTATGCAAGGCGTGCTTACAGCTGGCGCCTTGATCATTCGTCACGAGGTCTAGTCATGCACTGACTGAGGTCTTTTGGGTTTTGCAACGTGGCAACTTGGTGCAATCAAAAATGGGTGCATAGTAGGATTTTGTTCTACCTAGGCGTGTGCACTGAATTTGTGCAATTCTGTCTGAATTTTAGTCAAATGTAACGAGTTTTATTAGTTAAAGCTCGCCACACATCATAGAATTACCTTACAAAGTAATGCAATTAGGTAAGAAATCGGATTTTTTTAATATTGACTATTGGAAATACCTAGATCTCTTTTTGGAAAAGGGTTACTACATTACAAAAACATCTTACTTTTTTGGCGAACTATGGGGTATTTGTCAGTTTGAATGCATTCTATTTGAATGATGAGAATATGAAAAACTACTTTGTGTCTAGTCAGTCATTCAGTCTCTGGGTTAGTGGTCTATTCTTGCTATTATTATAGAGAAGTGTACTACAGTAGTATATGAAAACTGCTCGGAGTAAATATCTGAAGACCAAAAAGTACGAAAATCATGTGTGAAATGATTTTGCTACATTAAAATTTGTTGTGAAAAGTGCATGGCTGGCATGGACGAGTCGATCGTACTCATGTCGGCCATGACACTACTGCTGGAAGAGTTCCAAGAGCATACACGAGCGATACATATATATCGCGGCCGGTTCAACCTCATGGCACAAAGGTATTGAGAGTACGGCAGTGATTCGGTCCGAATGCTTTTGACTTTCCTTCACACCTGACGATCGCCCAATCCGTGCTAGTGTGCGGCGAGGTGGCATGTCGTAGTACACGGGCGTTTCGTCCACGTTGATCCAACCATGCTTTGACAGGTGGCCAAATGACGAAGAACTCAGTCGAAAATTCTTGCTGAGTCTCAGCGAGCTCCACTTGGCGAAAGGTTGCCTCCGGGATGCTGTGCGTTTGTGCAAAGTGCCTTGCACTTGCACATGGGCCAAGTAGAGCGAATGTCTGGAGATACACTCGGATTTGGCGGACAGTGTATCGACGCTGCCGGCGTTTTGCAACACGGCGAGGAGGCGTCATTGAAAAATGCTCGCATGTCAAAAGTGATCCTGAGTCAACCAATTAGATTTAAATCTTGTATTTGAACTAGCCAATCAGGGTTTGTGGAAGAGGGACACTGCGATTTGACAATATTGATTCATTTTCATTGCATTTCTGTCCTTTCGAATTTATTTTATTATTGGCAGTACTACTGTGCGCCAGTCTCAATGCAGTTCTCTGTAGTTCCGTGGATACCGTGTCGATTAACTGTAAATCACATATTCGACGAGTTTGTGAAATTTTGTAGGGTTCGAGTCGAAGGCACCGCGCTAAATGACATGGGAAGGAAAGCGGTTCAAGAGCTCGTCGGCGCTGAGCAGGTCCTTTGAGACCAAGTTGACGGCGAGGATGCCGACGAGGTGGTTGAGCTCGTGCTGGAACAGCTCCGACTCTGCCTGGGGCAACGCATCTTCCTGAACAATGTGTCCGTGGTGATTTAAATAGCGGAGGGAGATGGATGCATGTCGCGACACTCGAACGAGGAGGTCGGGGAAACGCATGCAGTTGTCCCACATTGAGAACATTCCCGGACTTCGCCAGGTAAGCTCGGGGTTATGTATACTTGAGGACTTGCGTGCTTGCCGACAAGGTGGATCGCCACGAAGCGATTTTGAACACCAATCTGCGGGGCAGCAATTCCTCGGTCAAAGCCATTCTTCGCACGGAACGCCATAAGCGTTGACTCGAGGCGCGCCATGTCTGCCTGAAATGGCGCAGACGCTAGCATCCACAACGACACCTTCGCATATGCCTCGCGAAGAGAAGGAGTGCCGAGTTGTAGCTATTGTGGTTTCTGTCGATAGGCGCATTATTAAATGCGCATCGGGACAAGACGTGACAACCGCACGACACTCAACGGCTAATCAAGTCCCATCATCAGAAAGTACACTCTAGATACATTTCATACAGGACTGCATAATAGGTTACCCAGCTGGGGCTATCATCATCGAATCACTGGTTGCCAGACTCCTAGCTAGCTTAACCCTTGATAACTCACTTGTGAACCTCTACTACTTTCTACTCTTTCGTCCCTATCGCGGCATACGGCGACCGATACCTACAAGCAAAGTCAATAGATCATCAGCCCAATGACAGAACGCTACATGTATGAGCAACCAAACAAGCTAAAGATTGACGGCTCGAACTATCGCGAGTGGTGCGCTAAGACGCGAGCCAAGATCAACCAACACAAGTTGGGCTAGTACCCACCCGGACGGCAAGTACAAGTTTGGCCTGGAAATGGACGTCGACCTGGTGGCGGTGTCCTACATCCAGCTGTCCGTCCATAACGACCATCTCAAATACGTCCAATTTGTAGAAACGACGTACGACACGTGGAACGCGCTCAAAGCCATCTGCGAGAATACGTCAGAAGTCAGCATGGTGACTCTGCAAATGAAGGTGTACAAACTTGACTGGAGCGATCAGCTTCAAGTCCTTCGCCGACAGTTTCAAGAACTCACGCGCAAGATGACCGCCGCCGGCGATGGCACCCCAGAACGGTCGTACGTCACCCGGTTCCTCTGCCTGCTGGACCGCGCTTCGCGAACGCTGTAAGTTACATCACGCGCGAGAGCCGCGACATGATCAAGTTCGCCACGATGCGGTCTGTCCTAGAAGAGCTCAAGTTAGTCGACGAACGCTCAGCAACCCAAGTCTACAGAAGAATGTGGACAGATCGGACGACGCACTCAATGCGACGGTCAACGGCGAATGCCACTACTGCTACAAGTCTGGCCACTTTCGCAGCGAGTGCCGCCGACGACAAAACGATGAGACCAAAGGCGTCCAGCGGCGCAACATGCGGGATAAGGCACAAGGAAATGGTGGAGATGTGGCAGCTACGATGGCGGCCGGAACAGTGGCTGCTTCAGCGGACGAAGACGTGGACGCAACAGCGGCAATGATCGCGGCGCCGACCAAGGTAACTACGTCGAAGAAGATGAAATAGATGATATCTTCATGATCGAAGCTTACCTGTGTCCGTCCAGTCGTCCGGACAACGAGGACACATGGTGACAGATAGATACAGACCTGGCCACCAAATTCGAAACCGACGATGTCTCTACAGAACTGAGTCAGTATGCGACGGGCGACACACGTGCGCGGGGCCATCATTGACAGCGGCGCCACTGCTCACATGACAGGCGACATCGACTTGCTGCACTCTGTCGTGTCCTGCGTCCGTGGCGTCCACCTAGCCGACGGCCACCCCATCCCGTGACGGCCATGAGTGACCTGATGATCAAGTCAGATGAATCAGGACGCACGGCAGCTTTCAAGAACGCTCTTTACGTACCGACCCTCAAGAAGACATTCGTGTCCATCAGCCGCATCAACCGCCAATTAGGAGACACCTGGCTGGTCTTCAAAAGAGACCACTGCCAGCTACGGAACAAGAACAAGCTGTCCATCACGGCCAAGTGGAACGATTCGTACCTGTACGCAATCCAAGGCAAGGTCATCCTCCCTGGCATGGCCGACGAGGCCAACACGGCAGAGGCAGCCGATACCATGCTCTGGCACGCTCGTATGGGACACATCCCCGCTGGCTCATTGACGGCAGCGAGCAAGGCATCCATCGGCGGCCCGACGGACCTACCCAAGGCAATCACATGCGAAGATTGTATCACAGGCAAGATAAGCATACCTCCGTGCCCAGACGGGCGACCGCCCACAACACCTGCTTGGTACCCGCGTCCACACCGACCTATGGGGACCAGCCAAGACCGCCTCGCCCAACGGCGCCAAGTATTTCATCGCTTTCACGGAAGGCGCCACTAACTACGTGTGGGTCAAGTTCCTATCCCAGAAGAGCGACGCCTACGTAGCCGTCATGGAATACGTACCATGGCTCGAGCGCCAGACTGGCGTGCAACTGAAGATACTACGCACAGATGGTGGCGGTGAGTACGTCAGCGACACGATGAAAGCCTACCTCAAAGAACGCGGGATTCACCACGAAGTCGGCACCACAAGGCGCCAATGGCAGAACGTCACAGCGGAACGGATGAACTGCACGCTAGTGGAGATGGGGCGCACGATGCTGCTCCACGCTGTTGTGTCTGCCGGTCCTGAACTGGCAGTGACTCCTTTAGAACTCGATGCACCGGGTTCAAAGGTAAAAGAAGACTGACTATGTTAAAGGTCTTAGATCTACTGATTCACAACGCACATTTGCATCCCCTATCGAGCTCTCTTCGGTCGTGTTGACAGATCCTTGACCAATGGGAATGGAGTGCGCTTGCAAGAATACTACCTGTCTCTTGCTAAGATACTCCACACCCAACAACTCCCCCATGGTCTACACGACCTCTGGGTGCGAGATAGCGAGCACCGTCTTGGGCTTGGCGACGTTGCCGTTCGGACAGCTCATTTTGGCCCGATCCACGAGTGGGTCGGGCGGTCGAAATATGCTATCGCAACCTTCGCCGCCACCATCGCCACAAGCGGGGCGGGTTGTGGCTTCAGGCGTCAAACGTTTGACCTCAGCCGCTGCCAGTGTGGCATTTTCTTGGAGTCGTTTGACCTCGGCGGCCAGCACTGTTGGCGGAGCTGGGACTACCGGGGCACGTTCCTTGTTGCTAATGCCCTTGGCGCGGAGTGCGTCGGCCTCGGCCGCCATGGCCGGGAGCACGTTGCTCAGCACACCGCGCACATGGCTCCAGAATTTGGAGATGTTGAACTTGATCTCCTTATCATCGAAATCGTAGCTGTTTCGCACCAGCGCCTTCGCTCCGTCGGGCTTGATGCCATGCATGAGCGCCTGAATGACGGCCTTGGGATGGAAGTAGTCGATATCCTCGGCTGCCTCATCCGTGAGGATGTCCATGTACCTCGCCTGCCAGTCCGTCATGCGGTCGCTCGTGCGAAGGAGGGTGTTGTCCATCGACAGCTGTTTGAGGAGGGCGACAACGACAGCCTTGCTCGACGTTGGTATGAGCATCGCCGCCTCGAACATCGCCTCCCACTCCGTCTCGCGAATGTCCTCGATGGGACGATCGAATTGGAACCGCGCGTGGTGGGCGAGAGCCTCCGCCGTCATGCAGGAGCTCATTGATACAGTCCCGATGCGCACACCGCTGCTCACGCTAATAGCGTCTTGGCCGCGGGCGTACACGATGAAACGTTTGGCGAACTTCTGTTGGTCGCGCTCCTTGAAGCCGTCCTTGCCATAGACAGGTGGCTTCGTGGGCGTGTACCCGCTGATGAGTGGCGCAGCCGTTGACTGTGGCAACGGGCTCGTCGGGGTTGGATGTCGCACTGGAGCCGACATCGGACGGCTGCCCATCGTGTAGAACGTCGACCCGTCTTCGAAACTCCCTGGAGGGGCCTCACCCACTCCCGAGGT